CGACACTTTCAAACTCACAAAACCGCTCGCATATTGTATGAGTTTCGATATTTTATTTTGTTTACTTTATACGTGTATGAATACGATATTACATTTCACTTTTTTATACGCTATGGATTAGTTTTAAATTTGGTAACGATTAACGTAATTAAGCTAATAAAGTAGGTGCCAAAACTTCAGACTGTTTGTGTGACAAAAAAAAGATATATGAGAAATGCATATTAATCAACTTTCTTGGTAGCTTTAAATAAATTTAAAATTTAAAATCATTTATGTGGTTTGTTTAAAATATAATAGGGAAATACTTGATTTGTATTTAAAGATATTCGTATTTCAACATATTTGAATTTGTTTTATTCGACGAACTTGGTCATAATTTTTGTATAATTTTTAATATATACATCGAATGGCAGCCGAGATGGCCCCTGCTACGACGCTCCCCCTCCCGACTGTATAACTGACTCGTTAAAAATTCCAAAAAAAGGCGAGAAATTTATTTTTGTGTCAATTATTTCCTCACCCGGGGCTAGGCTTATTGGAAGTCGAATGGAAATACTTATGGCTTGGGAGTGACATCGGTGGCCCGTAAACCATCGGCCTGAGGTAGCCTATTGGCTCAACGTTTCAGATTTATAACTCAATTACAATGCGACTCGGTTGTAATAAATGGCAGCAGCCAGTTATTTACTACGCGGTCAGTTGTGAGACAACGTTAAGACGGCGAGAGGTAAATCACAACTGGCCAAACATGTCCCATTTCACCGGCCTGACTCTTTACGGCTAATTTTATTGCCCAATGAAACAATTTGAAGAAAAATATTTAATTTTATCACTTTTTAAATGGATATTTTAAATATCTAATAGTGATGAACTGTAGATTTATATTCCGGTCTTGAAGCATTTCAGGGTTGTTGTTTTTTTCATCGTGCCATGGGTTTTCGTGTGTTCGTCACAACCAAGGCATTAATGAAAGAATAAATAGCACAACTAATCAAATCTTAAGGGGTTTTTTTATATTATAAACCTTTTCGAATTATGTAAATTTACATTTCCGAACTATTTCCACGGCTGGAAACCATCCTTTCACTACTGTGAACGAACTGAAAAATTACTTTCTTTTCTCTCACCTAGAAAATCTAAAAATATCCATGCATATTTTGTGTAGAAAATTATATTGTTTAAGCAGTTTTATATAATTATTAATAAAAATAATAGCATAAGGACAATGGCGTTTTATTCTTAATGTAATTTTACATGAATATGCATACATTTTTAATCGGGTAATAGAAAGAAGGAAAAACCCAACGAAATAGATTTTATTTTACTAAATATAATTGTCAACAAACGCAACCAATTCATTTTAAAACAAATTTACTTTTACCATGGCCAAAACGTTTGAATTTTATTGTTAAAACGTCCTGTTGCTCTCTGGTTTTGGTACGTCCTAAGTTAAGTTGGCTTCGGTACTTTCATGTTGTTTCATGTTTTCACTTTGTGAACCAAGTTGGATGACATCAATGTTTGTTGGGTGTGGAGGTGAGAGACACAATAGCGATATCTTTGGATTGACGAAGGAAGAAATTTAATCTGATGACTTTTGATTGGATGGAAATTTTTCGAAAAGGCTAGAATGATTGGGTTTATGAATAAATATCACCTTAAAAAGTGTGGTGTTTAGTGACCGTTGGTTAATGGTTAATTTGGGATCGTGAGATGCGGTCTGTTGTGACGTAGGTTTTAGAAAAACATTTTCTTTATCGTGCCAACGTTTCGAGCTTTATTGAGATCATCTTCAGAGCCTGGATTTATAAACATTGATTAAATTTTACAAATACACAGGATGTGGAAAAAATGAATTTATACAATGCTAGAAATTTAATGTTTTTCCACATCCTACATGTATTTGTAAAATTTAAACAATGTTTATAAATCCTAGGCTCTGAAGATGATCCCAATAATGATCGAAACGTTGGCAGGATAAAAAAATGTTTTTCTAAAACCTACGTCACACCAGACCGCATCTTATGGATCTCCAAATAATCTTAAGAAAATGTTTAAAGGATTTTCAAACAAAGCAAACTGATAAAGGTAAAATTCAATTTCGCGTTTTTTCACTACGCATAAGGCGAAATGGTTGCGGGAAGGATCTATGAAATCTGATAAGGGTGGCGGTTAGGGGTAAGATTGGTGTGGGCCAGTAAGTGCCTGCTCTGACTGTGAGATCAGGAAGGCTAGTTTATGCGACCGAGGAACCCCTGTAGGGCCCTTCAGGGAACGCAACCCTTGTCTTTTTATTAGAGCCGGTATGATATGCAGTGGCCTCGGGGCGGACCTGAAATAAATTGCCACCCTTGACCGTCTTTACATTATTCATAAACAGGGCGGACCCTCGTATTCCCCTTTGGTGTGGGTAGTGACAACGCGACGAACGGCCTAACAACCATGTGGCTGAAGCTTTAAGAAAAGGCCGAACGCCGCACGAAACTATAATTTTAGCTTTGAATATTAGGCAGTCGAATAAAAAACGATGAGGTTTCTGGAGATAAGACGATTCTTGAAACACGAATTAAGCCAAAGGGGGACAAATCGAAGTAAGATATTATCTTTCTGCGTGACCATTTGTCATGATTATTTTAATTTACGCACCTTCTGTATGCGTATGTTTAGTATATTAGCCAGTAGATGCGATTTACCTTGTAACAGCAGCGTGTCTAGCCGTTAAGTTATTTACCTTACATTTAATCAAATTAATTTTTAAAAATTAAAGTTTTAAATTAAACCATGTATGAACACCTCCCAATATAAAATACATTTCTGCTGTATAAACATCCCATAATTGCAACAATAAAACAACTATAATTTTCCAAGTGTTATCATCGTTCAAACAAATTAAAAAGTAATATCCCATACCCGTTACCTCTTCTTGAAATATTTATTTTTAAATATACTAAATCCAAATTGTAAGTGTAGGATAGTCAGCTCGGCCACTCACTAACCCAATCTCTTTCTCTCTAAGCTATATTTGAAGAAAAAATTCATGAATGTTGCTAATTTTTCAAAAATACCTCTGGTAAAATTACTAAGCTAATAATAATGATAATTATTATTTAATAACAATGATAAATACTAAAATATTAATAAAAAGATAATTTTAATGATAAAATAAGTAGTAAACTAGGAAACGTTACCATAAAGTTATACGAGGATACCCCTAAAAAGTAATGAGAAAATACCATTGCATAGAAACCTAACGAGCATCAATACAAAATAATAACTACACAATACACATTTTAGAGTAATAAGATACTGTTATTAGTGTTAATAAACGATCGTTAAATAAAATTTAAAAATAAATAAGTCGGCACAATAATCTTCATTAATTTAATTTAAAAAATATAAATTCTAAGTGGAAAATAGGCAGCGAGGACTTTCTCTCTGTCTGTCTCCCTTTCTCTTTCTCTTTCTCTCTCCCTCTCTCTCTCTCTCTCTCTTACTCTGTCTCTCTCTCTCTCTCTCTCTTACTCTCTTATTCTCTTATCACTCTCTTTCTTTCTTACTGTCTTATCACACTCTCTCTTTCTTTTTCTATCTTACTCACTCATTACCTCTCTCTTTCTTTTTCCCTTTTATTCACTCACTCTCTCCCTTTCTTTTTCTTTTTCCCTTTTACTCACTCTCACTCTCTCTCTCTCTCTCTCTCTCTCTCTCTCTTTCTTTTACTCTCTTATCACACTCTCTCTTTCTTTTTCTATCTTACTCACTCATTACCTCTCTCATTCTTTTTCTTTATCCCTTTTACTCACTCTCTCTTTCTCTTTCTATTACTCTATTACTCTCTTACTCTCTCTCTCTCTCTCTCTCTCTCTCTCTCTCTCACTCTCTCTAACCTCTTTTTTTTAAATCAGGTATGTTTCTCATTTTACAAAAATACTTCTAGTTAAATTATAAAAATTATTAAGATAATAATAATGATAATTGTTCGCGCCAAAAATCGCGAATTATAATTGTTTATTTGTTTCCGAAATGCCGCTAATCTAGAATTTATCCTAACTCTGTTCCCTCCCCACAATCCTGTCCTGTTGCTGCCTAGTCCTGCTCTAGCCCTGTTCGCTTCCGTCTCGCTTCCATACAGTCCACTGTTAATTAGCCTCCAAGAGTGATTTTCTTTTAGTTTTCTTTCAGTTTTTCTCTTATTTTCAGGAAGCATTTTTTTTCTTTCGTTTTGTTAATTATCGCGTTCAAAATAACGCGAGTGTCTCCTCCCGCATCCTTAATGCGACACATCATACAGGGTTTGGACGGAGCCCCTAAGGTAATTAATAGACTAGGATTCTGTTTTATCTTTGGCCAGAGTTATTGCAGGTTCTAGCTATTAAACGGCTCTCCTCCCTGGTTGTCGAGAAAATCCAGCCACAGTTAACAAGTTAGTATTTTAATTTATTTTGTACTTTATTTTATTTTGTATTTTTATTTTATTTAACCAAATTTTATTGCGACCGACCAGCGCGTGCACAATACTTATTAAGATAACTACTAAAATGATAATAATAAGATCGTTTTAATGACAAAACAAGCAGTGAACTAGGAAAATTTACCATGTAGTTATAATATGTAAGTTATAGGTTACCGTAATGAGAAAATAACATCGCATAAAAACTAAATGAAACATGAATATAACATAATAATTCCACACTACACAATTAAGCGTAATAATACACTATTATATGTGTTAATAAACGCTCGTTAAATAAAATATAAAAATCAATAACACGTCAACTAATACCCCTACAGTCCACCAAGATTTGCTGAATTGCTTTTTTGAACAAAATTGATACGAAGGTCATGAAAATAATAGATTGAGATTACATACTATTGTACATATTATAATTACAGCGTTTTGTATATTTAGATTTAATTAAGATAGTGTGAAGAAATGGAGTAGGGAGATTAATTTTCTTTTATATCGCTATAGTGTAAAGATATATAAAAAAATCACTTACCATGTGGAACCCAGCCATGTGAGCAGGTCTCGCAGTATCTGATGTGGAGTTTTCCTGGCGTGAAACACTCACAGGAACAGCCAGGGACAGTGCATCGGATGCTCTGTAACAAATGCAACTCATGAGCTTCTCAAATCCCTCGAGAATTTCCCCTAACATCCTCCCCTAACCATTCAATCAACCTTTGGTTTTCATTGCCGGACCTTTACTACCCTTCCTCAGTCCCTTTAGGTCAAGGAATAACAATTTACGCCCTTTTTCCACAGCGTGCAACTCCTAGAAGCCGAGGACGATTTAGGTTTGTTGAAATATGATCCTCACCGCCCTGGCATTTTAATTGTCCAGTGTTCCCCATAAGAATCCATTTTTAATAGAGATAAAAATCATAAGTACTTACGGGGCCACAGAACAAAAGGGGAATCAATTACAGAAGATATTAGAAACTAATTTGTTTGCTTTGTGATGACAGAGGTCCAATGTAAGGGCAGATGTTACACACCTGGGCTTACCGACAATTATTGATGAATTAAGCTTGTGTCAAAGGCTGGCACGAATAGCCGACACGCACGTAGTCAGTAAATAATGGGCGGATTCCTTGTTAAATGTTAGCCGCCCGTCACATAAATTATTGTGGGAAAAATGACGTGATTTTGTCCCGTGCACAACCAAGAATGTAAACCCCTCGAGCGTTCATACATCACTCATACTCGTGTACGGCTGAGATTTTACCCAAACCTGATCCGTAGCCGTGAACGTGCCATTTCCGCAAGCGAGCCGCAGGAATCAGTTAACACGTTAACTTTCTTTATTATCTATCACTTTCACCAATTAAAACTCACCACACCGGTGAAACATCCATTCGAGATAAATACGTTTTCATCACAATGAATTTATTCGTGTTTTGCCTTGCATCCGGAGATTTAGAGTTAATAGAAGAAGATGAAATATGGGTTGGAAAAGAGAAGGTGATATGTCATAATTTCTCAAAAGGAGGACGAGCGAAGGGGCCCGGTATCTCGAACCAACCCCCTAACATTGACAAAGCCATATGTCAACAGAGATTACACTATCCATCATCTCTAAGGACCCGGCTAAGAGTTAATAACGGCAAACTTAGCCCCCGTTTATAAGCAAAGAGGGAGTGACCCCTGAGGAAATAAGTTAATATTGATCACTCGCATACTGCTTTATAAAATAATTGACCTAACATGCACATTCCTTGGAAAGAAAAACGCATCAATCACTACGAATGTTGTGTCATTTCGAAAAACTGATGCTAAACTGAAAAAATAATGAGGCACAAAAATGATTTGACATATCTACTGAATTACGATACAACACAGTTTTGTGTAGTAGCAAAGTGCGTTAAAATATTTTTACGCACCCCAAAAACCCCTGAAAACAAATTTGTGGAAAAATCGACAATCCATTTTTCTCAAATGGCTCACCTTCCAACAGCCTATGATTTTTTTTTTCAAAAATACTATGTAAATAACTTAAAATCGAGATCTAAAATAAAACATTTGAGAAGTTTTTAACTCCTTCATATTTCTCTCATTCTTGCATAAAAGTTAAATTGTTAACAAAGGCTGAAAAAAGAGATATTACGTTTTCTAAAAAGTTCTAACAACGTTGAGTTTAGATAAAATCCGGACCAAAACAATTCATTTTTTATTGCTATGAAAATTCGTATATATTTTTTTTAACGAGGGTTCGCAACAGCAGAGGTCATGTAAAACTTCAGGGTGCCGGTCTTTTTTTTAAAAAAAAGCCCATTTGTAAGTATGTCGGGTTCGAATGTAGGGCCGCTGGATTCGAACCCAGGGCCTTTGCCTTACAGTGATGAGCGCCTAAACCGTTGCGGCCGACGACGCCCCTAGAAAATTCGTATTAAAGGCTTTAAAGTGTGCTTAAAACGAAATTCGTTTTTTCGTCAAATGTTTTTTTTGGCTTACTTTACTGGAAACTTGTGTTTTCGTAACATTTTATTTATTAATCTAACTTAGTACAATCTTAGATATTAATTCTTAGATTTTCTTAGATCTTAGTTTAAAAAATAAACGTATCATCCATAAACACATACGCAACAATGGCAAAAAAAATTATATAATATTTTTTTAATTCTTGGCTTTTAATGGAACACCAAACGACGAGAAAAATACTGCATGTTCCAGTTAAAAATATCTATAAATTTGTTGCTATACAAACTCATATTTTAGAATTTTAATAAGTGCTTAAAACGTATCTGAATTGAGTTTTCCTATTTTACTGGAATCGTCTTTTTATTTCTCTATATCTAATCTCCCTTTATACAAAACTGCGTATTATTTTTTTTACTAGGTACGTCATACCAATAAATAAGTACCTCGAAATACGTACTCAATAACAGCAGAAAATCTAATTTAACACAAAAAAGGAAATTACTTCAAGTATTTTCCTTTTCGCCTTCTAGGGCACATTGGTAAGAAATATCGGACACAAATCAAATAGTGTTCGACATAGTACTAAAAAAGTGTTCATTGTAATCGATGAGCTCACCTTCGTAAATATATTAATGTATAATTAATAAATTGATTAAAGCGTGGTCCATGAGTTAGGTTTCACTCCCTTACGCTGTAATTGTTTTGCCATCAGTAATTGACACTTTTCTGAAGATTTTGGATCTGGGAAAACTTTGTGAAGAAAAATAGATGCTGTTGTTGTTTGATAGAGGAGTTGAAAAGAAAGAAAGAAGGGTCTCTATTAATATCTGTCTCTGTGGAAATATGGGAAGTGGGAGCGTACGGAGGACGCGCTATCTCCGCCAATTGCCCGAGCGACGATAAGCCCCGGCGAATAAATCATTTCACCCCCTTGTCTAATGGCCAGGCCGACGTCTACCCGCTAAACGACGCCTCAAGAGACTCATTTTAATATGTCACAAAGAAGGGAGCCCTCTTATTATTTCAACAGAGACGGAGGAAAATAATAAGAAGCGGAGAAATAATAAAAACGCGATAATTCCAGAAACGGCCTGACATTTCCAACGCCTCACCCCAGGCGACTGAGTTATACCTTGGTGGGTTTGACATTTGGAAACGCCGTTTCCCACCGTCTGTTCGAGTTTTCAATTACACGAAATAGACTTTTTCCACGCGACTGTCATTCGGTTCACCCCAGTGTCAACGATAACAACCCTCAAAACACACTCCCTGGGGATTTATCGACAGTTCTCTCTGCACAAACAAAAACCTATCCATACGTTTCATAAATTATGCACAAAATATTATCCTTTGAAACATATGAATACAAGCTATAAAGTAAGGAAAAAATTAAGAAAACTGCGTAATTAACAAATTCAAGAAAACAAATTACACAACAGAACACAGAGAAATGCCAAAACTTGTCTAACAGTCCAAACTTATCTATAACGACCCAATTTACGGTTCATCACGCCACATACAACATGCAGAAATCTTAAAAATCTGTTCATATCGAGAGAACTCGACAGTCCACGAGTAATTTTACCATATAATTTCCATCTGTCATATTTTTATTGACACGCAACTCAGAGGGGAAAAACTTCATCTGGACAAAATTTATAAATACAGTCTTTATAACCAAATGAGTTATTTAAAATTTTAATAAAGCCAACCTTCAGGCAAATGAGTACGAATCTTAATTGACACGCAACACATTGAAAATCATGATTTTTTAAATAATGTAAATTTGGATTGATATTTCAAGTTTTAATTAAGTAGCTTTTGCGAGTATTTGTTGCAAAAAATACAGAGCTGGGTGCATCAAAGTTGGGTCCAATGAGATGAGAGGCTTTTTCAGAAAATTAATGTTTACATGATGAAGTTAAGTCAGTAAATCCTTAATATTGCGACGTTATCTATATTTCTAGGACAACTTTATCATGTAAATAGATAATTTCCATGTATTAAAAACAAAGCCTAGCTGATTTACAAGCAATACACCATGTCCATAACTAAAACCAAAATTCGATGCGGTCCGGTCGTCATTTTTTGAGAAAATTATGTGAAAAGGTTGAGATGGGAAGTTGGTGTCCGAGTGAATCGAAGTCACGATAGCCTGCCAACTGGCAGGGCAGCGGCCTATTTAGCCGAAGGTCGTGGGTTCGAATCCCGCTCGAGACACTAATTTTTCATCACAACCAAGGCCTTAGATAAAAAGAATAATCAATTGAAATTATTATTTATTATTGTCGATAATTTTCTTGGTTCAACAAGATTTATTTCTAAAATATTTTTTTTTTAAAGTTCAAATTAACCATTCTATTGTTAGTCTTATAAGGAGCCGTCGGTCCTCGATTAAACAACTCTAAGATCTAAAAAAGAACAGGGGCAAAGAAATATAAAAAAAATATCTAGGTAAAGGAAAAATATAAAAATACAATGTCGCCTTTGAAAATCAAATGAAAAAAATTATATTTACAATAAAATGCCGATAACAAAGAAAATAAAAAAATGTCTTTTCTCAAATAAAATTTTCCTCCTTTAAAAGAATTGTTTCATAGAAAACTTCAGAAATAATGTAGCATTTGTTTTGTACTAGAGTTTGCCATAATCGGGAATAATTATCTAGACTCACTAGTATTCGTGGTCCGCTTGACCAATTAATACCTTTCAATTAATTAAGGTTTTTTTTGAGTTGAGATAAAAAGTCAGAATCACGTGCGGGATTCGAACCCACTTCCTTCGGCTAGATATGCCGCTGCTCTACCACTTGACCTATTGTGAGTGACTTCGATCTTCCCGGACAGTAACTTCCCATCTCAACCCCACCTTTCAAATTTTCCCTTTTTTTTGCCATTTTTCAAATCGTGTAACCTATTGAATTCTCGGCGACAACATTTGAAAAATAGCAAAAAGGAGGGAAAATTCGAAAAGTGGGGTTGAGTTGGGAAGTTGGTGTCCGAGAGGATCGAAGTCACTATAGCTCAAGTGGTAGAGCAGCGGCGTATCTAGCCGAAGGTCGTGGGTTCGAAACCCGCTCGTGACACTAACTTTTTCATTTCAATCAATAGCTTACATAAAAATTGATTAATTTAAAAAAGTTCTTTGGTCAATTAGACCACGAAAAAGAATGGATTATATG